TACAGCCTTCAATATAGGTTATACTTCAAAATCAAAAAAACAAACAAGAATCTTCACAACTGGACCAATAAGCAGTGTAATGATAAATGCAGAAAAGACTGAAGTTGTCATTTTACTTGGATTCCCAATCATCACCCATAAAAACAACAGTCAGGTGATCAAACAAATATAGCATTGGGCATCTCAGCAGCAAAGGTTCTCTTACAGTGTTGTGTTTGTTTTTAAATGTCACTTTGAGGACTAAGGTATGCCTGGCCCAAGCTATATTTCCAGTCACCTCATAAGTTTGTGAAAGTTTATTAATGAACAAAAACTGAAGAAGAATTGGTGCATTTGAATTATGGTGATGATAAAGAATATTAACTGCCAGAAAAGTAACTAAACCTGTCTTGGAAGAAGTGCAGCCAAAACGCCCCTTAGAAGCTAGAATATGGAGACTTTATCTCATATGCTTTGGACAGGCTATTGGGAGAGCCTCATTCCTGGAAAAGTCTATTATGCTTAGTAAAGTGGAGTGTCAAAGTAAATGGGGAAGGTGTTCAATGAAATGGACTGACGGCTCTAATGCAGGATGGTGCAGAGCAGGCAGTGTTTGTTCTGTTGAACATATGGCCACTATGAGTGGGAACTGACTCAAAGGCACCTAAAAGAACACAAAAAATAACATATAATAGTTTCACTTACCTTTACTATGTTTCCAAAAATGTGAAAAATGTTACATAGTTTTCAAACCCAATTATGAGACTGTGAAATTTAAGATGTAGAAAGTATATTATAGAAAAAGGAGAAAGATTAATCAACAATTATTTCTAGAGTTAAATGTACAAATTTAGTGTGAAGGCACCCAGGTTGAAGCATGCTGATGCAGCTTAAGGAAACCAGACTGACTGAACTTTGTATGAGATCTGAGCCACCAAGTCACTATTAGTGATCCAGCTCCTTATTCTACTGGAAGAAACATTCCCCTTCGTGGTGACAACTTCTATTCTTGTCTTTTTTCAACAAACTCGCCTCAATTGGATAGAGACTTCACAGTGAGTCCAAAGGCTAGCTCCTCACCACTTCACCTGCATAGGGCTTCACTCCATTTCTAATGAGTTTCTAGTGTGTCCCGTTTTTCTCCAGCCCCCTGGCCTTCTTGCCTTAGACTGGCTTATGTTGGTGTATACCCCATATTTTGACTAAGCATCAGGAGTTTCAACAACGAACTATCTCCACAAACGTCATTCCTTCGCTAATAGGGTTTCTCCGTCCCAAATGAGATACCTCTCCTCTCCACAGTCTCCATCATAAGTTATGGCACCTGAGTTAGCTTCTGCTTCATATCAACCTAGCTTACATATAGGAGGGTAAATTCTACAAAAGTACTCTTGCCCAAAAAAGAGTTAAGAGTAGTAGAGCTGATTACCTTTATGTGTAAGAAAGGGGTAAAGATAGGGAGGAGGAAGAAAAGAGATTAGAACCCTCGGGCAGGTACTACTTTCCATATATGCTATTGTTAGGTGGCATCAAGTTGATTCCAATTCATAGCAACCCCCTGCCCCACAGAAGACTGCCTGGTCCTGTGCCATTCTCATAATCACTGCCATATTTGAGCCCATTATTGTAGCTACTGTGTAAATCCATCTCTTTGAAGATTTTCCTCTTATTCTCTGACTCTTCTTTATCAAGCATAATGTCCTTCTCCAGGAACTGGTCCCTCCTAAAACCATGTCCAAATAAGTGAGATAAAATACCACTTCCTTATACATTTATACTTTTTCAAACTCAAACATGCCTGAAAAATATGCTCGACTATGATGAACCTTCAAACATCAGTCACACTGTGAATTCTACAATGGTCTTACCATCTTCCTTTTGGGATTTGTACCCCAACTGGTGAAACTTGAATACTAATTCACAAAACTCTGACTTCATTATATTCAAAAGGTCACTGAAACAGGACGCTGCAGAGTATCACTCAGTGACCTTGCACAAGCTCTTAAATTTGAAAAACCAGGCCAAACATATTTTTGTGTGTTACTTTGTTACATGTTGCTTGACAATACTTAAAAAACATATATATGGCACTTCTCCAAGTGGCATTTTCCTCAGGGAACAAGAAGTTTTTGTAATGAGTATGACTAAGATTGCTTCTTACAAAAATTAAATCAACACATGCAATCAATTTGGCCACATATGGTAATTTTCAAGCCGTAATTTTTAAATGAAAAATTCCTCTAGGCTATGTGATTTCAATAGTATTAAAAACTGATTAAAAAAATTTTTAAAGACCAGAATTTATCCATTTTAAAGATCCATTTTAATATTTCTACTTTCTTTGATGTTTCCATTGAACTTACAATCAGGAATTCTGCAAGTAAATAAAAAATTACATGCAGAATGATTTCCAACACCATCATGGCTGATCTCATGCTATTGATGTTATGACTTCCCTGTGGATTAAAAATTAAGCATACATTTTATGTTACATAAATTTTAGTCACATATACAGCATGAAAAACAGTTAGAATTTAAAATATTTTATTATACTTTCAGTTTCTTGTTATTACATTATGTATATGTGTCTAAGATTTCCTATAAACTAATTGGTAACATGAGATGTAAAATAATTTTAAAGCATATATATTTTAAATGAATCTCCCAAAACTACTTATTCTGATAGCTGTTTTATAACGTTGGATAAGAAATAAAATATTATTAAATTAATGGCCTGAAATAAATTTGAAGTCACTGAGCCCAAACCCTTTTATAACTAAAAATAAACAAACCCTCACCAAGCCCTTGCTAACAACTGGGTTCCAAACCTGCTGGCTACCCCATAGGCTACAGAGTAACAGTGCTCCATGGGGTTCCTTGACTGTAATCTTTATGGAAACAGATGGCCTGGCCTTTCTTCTGTGGTTCCTCTGTGTCTGCCTCAATCATTTATTCTACCCGGGAAGTCTCCATTAACCCAACCAACAGGGAACACTACACTGAGACATTGAAGTGAAACCATTTGAAGCATCCTGTTTCTAAGTAATCTCAGGTGAGAGTACCAGAACCACTCAAATCAAGTAGAACCTAATTTGCTAACCTGTGCAAAGACTTAGAGTTAGAAAATCAAAGAGGAAGAATACAGTCAGCATACCTTAAACTGAAAGAACTCAACAACAAAAAATTCAGGCCTCCAATTACAATACTAAAAGATTCTAGGGACTAAATATTCAATGATGCAGGAAGCATCCAAAGAAGATGGAACGAATACACAGAACTGTGCCAAAGAGACCTAGCAGACATTCCACTGTTTCAGGAGGTATCAAGTGAGAGCAAGAACCAATGGTGCTGAAGACGTTCAAGCTGTACTGAAAGCATTAGCCAGAAACAAGGCTCCAAAAATTTATGGAATACCAATTGAAATGTTTCAACAAATTGATTAAGCACTATAAGCACTTACTTGTCTGTGCCAGGAAATTTGGAACTGTCAGGAATTGACAGGAAGAGATCCATATTTGTGCCCATTCCAAAGAAAAGTGACCCAACAGAATGCTCCAATTACATAACAATATATGCAAGTCAATGTTCGTTATAGATCATTCAAAAATGATTGCAGTAATACATTGACAGAGAGCTACCAGGGGTTCAAGCTGGATTCATAAGAGGATGGGGTCAAGGGATATCATTGCTCATGTCAGGTGGATCTTTGGCTAAAAGTGGAAACTACCAGAAAGATGTATACCTGTGTTTTATTGATTATGCCAAGACATACGACTTTGGTGGTCATTACAAACTATGGATAACCTTGAGAACGGGGACTCCAGAACACTTTATTGTACTCATGCAGAACTTTTACATGGATCAAGAGGCACTTGTGTGAACAGAACAAGGGAATATTGCATGGTTGAAAATCAGGAAAGGTGTGTATCAGGGTTGTATCCTCTCACCATACTTAATCAGTCTATATGCTGAGCAAGCAAATCATCAGAGAAACTGGATTAAATGAAGAATGCAGCATCAGGATTGGTGGAAGGCGTGTTAGCAACCTTCAATTTGCGGATGACACAATGTCTCCAAGCATTGCCAAAAGTTCCCTGGAGGCCAAAGCGACCCTTGGTTGATCAAGAGCCTTTTGGGGACAAAGTAGCTTTTTTGAGAAGATTATTTTGCCTTTAAACAGACTTTACATAAAACAATCTTTTAATGACATGCTCATATTACGAATATCCTGGCAATTCTGGAAAGTACTTTTTACTTCTTTGCCTTTATTCAACTAAGAACTAGCAAGCTAAATTTTCTGTTTTCCTAAAAAGGAAGCAGACAGAGCAAACACAAACAGGGTGTTGATTCACAATGTCCCTTGAACAAAAGTCTATAAGTTCCCTAGACTCAAGAGATTAACTCAATTTACAATAAAGAAGGACTGGTTATTGAACAAGAAAAAAAAATAAAGAGGCTTAAATATCGGAATAAAAACTCTTCCTAAGTTAAATACAAAGAACAAAAATATTTTAATCTATATTTTCATAATTGTAAAGTTAAAATTTTATCTTATCTTTATGATAAGCAACAGTAGAATTTAAAAGAAGAAAAATGATTTTTTTGTTGTTGGTTAGGGGTTTATGTTTTTTGAGAATATACATAGCGAAACAGACACCAATTCAACAGTTTGCGCAATTCAACAGTTTGCGCATGCTCAATTCAGTGATATTGGTTACATTCTTGGAGTTGTTCAACCATTTTTCCCTTTTCTGAGTTGTTCCTCACTCATGAACATAAATCTACTGTCTCCTAAGATTCCTATATAAAATTATCAAATTTTCAATTGCTGTTATCAATTTCACCCCACTTAGATCTTAAAAGAGTACAAAGCTCAAGGCAGGTATTCTGGGGGCTTTTTTCCTAGCTAAACCTAACCATTCTAGGCTTGAACGACAACTTAGACGAAAAACACCCCTGAAGTCTTGTTAAAACCAAGCAAAGGTCATGCATGCTAAGATTCTGGATTCCATAAGAATGAGGAATTCTGGGTGGCGCGGGCAGCGGACTGAGCAGGTCCCGTTGTGCTGACGCTCCGCACGGCCTCCAATCTGGGGCCCGCACCCCGCGCCGCCCGCCCGCCCGCCGCCCCGGCCCTGCTGCTATCCGCGAGGGCTGGTTCCGCGAGACCTGCAGCCTGTGGCCCGGCCAGGCCTTGTCGCTGCAGGTGGAGCAGCTGCTGCACCATCAGCACTCGCGGTACCGGGACATGCTTGTCTTCCGCAGTCAGACCCATGGCAACATGCTGGTGTTGGACGGCGTCATCCAGTGCACCGAGAGGGACGAGTTCTCCTACCAGGAGATGATCGCCAACCTGCCCCTCTGCAGCATCCCAACCCATGCAAGGTGCTGCTCATCGGGGGTGAGGATGGAGGCGTTGC